ACATCACTCAGTCTGAGGACAAATTAAACATTTATTTATTATTAGTTTCCCAACATCACCTGTAAGTGTCGCCAAAGAATCGACAGCTGTAGAAAAGGGCGTCAGCCCTGAAGTTGGCGTGAGGCAGCGCACATTTCCAGTCATTTGGCTCTTGATACATCTGATCGTTGACGTGAAAAAGTGCGTTCGGCACTGTACGGACCCTTTGTACATGAGGCCTCTGGTCTCTTGGCTGCCCACAGGTGTATTGTTGGAGAAAGTGTCAACAGTCACTCCTATTAGTCGTCTTCTTCTCCACTCCATTTCCAAAAGCTCTGATGATGAAAGACCTGTATTGAAGAGGGTGTCCATCGAACACAGGAATGTTTCTGACACGAAGGACAGAGCATAGATTTTGCTGAGCCAGCAGAGCAGAGATTTCCTTTTGCCTCTGCATAACATTTACTATGTCACTCTGATAGCTCTCAGGAAGACCTTGTACATGAGGTTGCACTAATTGTGCTTGATAACAAAGCAATAACACATTTTTCATCCATTTTAACTGGAGGTTTTGGTATGGGGGTTGAACTGGCTTGCTTTCCTCTAAAGGTAAGTTCATAAACGATGCATGCATGTCATTTGCGTCTTAGCAACACTTGATGAACTTCGTACGCTCAGCATTCACTGACTTGAGATTTTCATTGATGCCATTGACGCAAGTAAGTTCTCAAAGTTCTCCATCCTTGGCTTGTTTATATCTTCTGTTCCTTTCCGCTGATACATTTCGGTGAAGAAGTCCAAGCTTTTAGAAGTAAATTTAGTTTGTCTTTTTTCTGCCATTGTCTCAACGTCGCTTGCCGTTCGTACGTCAGACAACGTTTAACATGCAGGCAGAGTGCAAGAAAAACGGCAAAATGTGGTTATTTTCCGATCAAGTCCATTTCTAACAATAATCCCCATCGTAGCTTCTGAAACTTCAAACATTTCCATCGCTGTGGTTACGACTTTTGAATCTGACTCGTTCAGCCGTTTTGCTTTCCAGCAGTCGTATCACATACACGATTTACTCTCTGACGTTTCAGCACCGTTGTCGATTGGTCCTCCTCGTTCAAGGGTGAAGTTTTTACTTTATAGCTTTTATGAAGTAGTGGCCATTTGTCCTTGGGGCCAATAAACCATTACTGTTGAGTTGAGTTGCAGACCGAGCCCCTCTCTGGCTGGGAGGCAGGTTTAGGTGTGTCTCTCAGGCTGGAGGCGGAGATTTGAATGCACCAGGTGGAGATGATCTGGCGATCAGGGGGGTTGGAGGCACTCACTCACAGGACAGTGAAGAGCGAGCAGTGTGAGAAAGCGAGATTGAAGAGCTTGGAAAGAGGAGACTGCAGGAATAAAGCTTGCAAAGACTGAAGAAGGAGCCGGTGAGCTTTTGAGTGGCTGACTACTTATGGCATCAAATGCAAGATCAAATGTCCATATATTTAATGTGTGTTTTAAAAAGTATTCAAGCTAAAGGTAATTGGATAAAAATTGATTTGTGTGTATTCAGCGGAGTTAAAAGCTGCTAAAGTTTATAAGGTTAAAATCATCATTAAATAGTTTTTTAAAAATGTATTTAATTTAGTCTTGGGATACTTTAGATTTGGGTTGTCTTTCTACTTATTTTTTAGGTTAATTTCCAGTAGATTATAAATTAAGTATGTGATGTTGGGTATGTGAATTGATTATGGTTTCTTGGGTTATATTTCTTTGACCTTCTATTTGTGTTTTGTATTTCAAGGTTTTTCACCTGGTTTGACCTGGACAATTTAAAAAATAAAAAGGAAGAAAGCAAAGAAGTCCGAATCTTGGTCATTGAGTGGAATCCAGTCTACACTTCTTAGCAAGTTGCCCTTTCAAGTGGGGGGCTGCAGTTTGAACCTCATAAAAGTGAGACACTTGACAATTACATCACTGGGCATTTAGCTTTTATCCAAAGCGACTTACGTTGCATTTTTAACCTGTGGCTTTAAAAAAAAAGAAAACCCCTTTTTGCCCGGGGAGCTATTAGGGGTCAGGTGTCTTGCTGAGGGACATTTCGACATGGGACATGGAGCAGCTTACGTCAAAGGGCCACTGAGCGTCACACTTTAGTTTATTGTACGCAGCAAGAGAGCAGATTGTCCAAGCAGTCTTTTCCTTTTATTTCGCATTTATTCCAAAACAAACGCATGAAAAACATAACGTTGCTGCCTTTCCTATGCTGTTCACACTGCCCTCCATCTCACCCAGGTGCATATGCCTGGCTACGCCCTTAAATATCCTCCAGGTGCCCACAGTGTTACACAATTAATGAGTCCAATTACTGTAACCAAATAAGTATACTTTATTCAACTAAATTGACTACAAAACAGATAAATCTATCTTAATATTTTATTACATTGAACCCAAGATGTAAACAATAATATTTAGGAATATATAACTACATTATAACTGCAAATGAATAGCTCCCACACATACACAGCATCTCATCTGTGTTACGGCCAGCTCATTTCGACCGTACATAAAGAAAACAAGTACAATGAAATTACTTGCAAGAGTTTAATTGTTCGTTCAGAATAACGGTAACTTAACAAAACAAAGTCTAGGTTCAAAACAAAGGGGAAAATCATAATCCAGATGGGGAGAGAAAAGATTGGTATGAGTTGGGTAACTAAACAAAGGTAGGCCAAAGTGACTTCTCCAGAGGCAGTCGCTCCCCTGGAGGAAGGGCCGTGGAGAGGGGAGATCCAGGGTTTTATCCTCTCCACAATTAAGAGGCAATCAGGGAACAGGGGTGTGCCATCTCCCACGCCCTCCCCAGGAGACACCGCCACCTGCAGGCGAGCAGATGAAGGGCGGGGTGGTAACATCTGTGTGTATCTGATTAAGTTAAGTTTGATCTTACTTTATAAGGTTGATAACATGTACTTTGGGGTTATGCGTCCTCTCTTTAGTAAACCGGACCCCTAATGACTCCTTTGTCCTTAAATGATCATGTTACAACATTAACAATGTGGCTTATTATATCTGCTCAACAGCTACCAGGAAGAACTGCAGAGAGAATCTACCACACTGCAAAGCGTATCGACAGTATAAGTATGTATTTCATGTGTTCTAGTTGACTGTAAATGGACCATCATTTACTAAATGAACATCATTGTCGTGTGGGTGGAGGAGAGAGCGCCATTAGAATGTCCAAAAACAAAATGGCACTGAAGGCTTAACAGAGGAGAGTGCAGGGAACGAGCTCCAGGGCGAAGGTAGAGCACTCCAGACAGCAGGACGCCCACGTCATACGGGAGGCTGGGTGGAACAGAGGTTTGGACTCGGGCCACGCCGTAAGGCATGAACACGACAAGGCAGGGCAGGAGAAACGAGACAGCAGGTACAGGTACGTCGGTGCATAGTCAATACTCTGGCAGAGAACAAGGGGAAGAGGCAGGCTAGAAATAGAGAGTCTAATTGCAGAAGGTAGGAAGAGGTGAGGGGAAGAGAGAATGACCAGATGAGAAGCAGCTGGGAATGAATGAGCAGGTCTGTGTGTGTGTGTGTGTGTGTGTGTGTGTGTGTGTGTGTGTGTGTGTGTGTGTGTGTGTGTGTGTGTGTGAAAAAGGGTTGGAAAGGAAAAGAGGAGAAAACCCGGTTCACGACAATCCTGCTGCATTGATGAAGACTTTAAACTAGAGCCTGAGACCACAAACTCATGTTTACAATGTCACAACGTCTATGGGAGCAGAGGAGTCGCCCCCTGCTGGTCACTGCAGAGAAGAAACAACAACAACATCAAATGATACATTTATTAGGCATAAAACTCACATAGGAAGTAAATGTTTTTGAACTTACGTTAAAACAAATAGTGCAGCTTGCAGCTCTTTGTATTTACAACATTTACTATGTTTTTATAGATGCATGAAGCCAGTTAAAAAGAAATCATGTAGCTTGTTTAAAATACACATTCTGGTTAAATAACCATAGTATAATTCATGTTAAGCCACTTCCTTTGTGACTGAGCTTTACTACCAGTGGTAATCTCCCACAACACATCTGTTACACATCTGCTCCAAAATTAGAGAAACATGTGGTAATTTCCATATTTTGCATGTCAACTTAAAGGGTCTATTTTGGACTATTGTTAACACTCTGATAGTCAAATTCAGCCACTTTAAGTTGAGCCAAGTTCTCAACTTGTGATGCGACTTCAGTCAAAATGATGAATCAATAGAAGCATATTGGCAATGTTGGTAAAGACTATTTACAGATAAATGTAGCTGAAGATGCTTGTATAGAACTGGTAGTAACATATTGCTGATTAGTAACATTTAAAGGCTGATTACAGACTACAAGCTGTCCTCCCATTGGCTCCCTGATGCTTCTCTGATGGAAGCCTTAACGATGGTGAATATACAACATGTCAAACCTCATATTCATGCAGGTGTGTTTAAGCTGCTTAAACTCTGTACAGTAACAGACCACATATCTGTGTGGGTTCATTGCTGACAGTAGGGGTGGGAATCTCTTGGCACCTCACGATTCGATTCCGATTCAGACGTCAACAATTCAATTCTAATCCAATTATCGATTCTAAACTACTTCTAAACTTTTTCTTTTAAATGAAGTCATCTACGGTCCTCTACAGTTACCCAAGGGGGCGTTTGTTTCTTGAAAACGTTTTATCTCATCATTTCTTTAGTGCAGAAATGGGCTTCTCTAGTTGTGTGGATGCATCACTCCAGCCAATCCAAGGACGCGGTTTGTAACCAATCAGGTGTAGAGACCATGGTGACTGGCTCCGCCCCCCTTACTGTCAGAAAGAACAACAGCGAGCACGTAGAAAACACCTTCGAGCGCGAGCAGGGATTAACCTCGCGAGCGAGGAAGTTCACGCTCCGCGAGCGAGCAAATATCTTGCGCGAGACAGACTTTTTTAAAATATTTTTTTTCGATTATTAACTTTTCTGAATCGAGAATCGAAAGAAATCGAAAAATCAAGAGTCACTAAATGAATCATTAACACGTTTAAACAGCAATAAAACAGTGATGATAAAAGCAGAGACGGATCCATATTCAGTAAAGATTGTCACTCGCTGCCTCCATCAAAGTGGATACATGTGGACGGCGTCGTCTTCTTTTTCTCCTCTTCCTCCTCTTCCTCCTGGTGTCCAGCGTTGGTCAGTGGGATCTGCATCAAAGAAGAAGAAGTACTTATTGGATAGTATTGTTGGACTGAAGTACAAAGGACCAGATAGTAGAATATCTGCAGGGCTTGTTCTCTAATGACTCCTTTGGGCTCTACAGGTTCTCATGGAGGTCTCATGTGTTTAATGGTTGTAATTAAGGTCATTGAGGTTAATGAAGTTCCATCTACAAACTGTCATCGTGTGTCTGTGGATACTGTGCACGCTGTGTACAAGGACGACACGCACACAGATTCATTAAGAACATTAAGTACAACCAGAGTGTACGTGGATATAGTTTGACCTTTTGGAGACTAACAGGATTAATATTTAAGTTATTCATGATATGATGAAGGTTCTAACAGGCCTCCACACTGAGCTCTTCCTCCTCACCTGAACGTTATTCTCTGGTCCCTCTGCTTTATCATTCTTCCTCACAGAAGAATAAATGAGCAAACAAATCAATGATCAAATCAAGTGATTCAACGACTGTGTGAATGTAAGATCCACATCTGCATTTTATCACATTACAGGTCATGTAGCACACGCTTTTATCCAGAGCGACTCACTCACTTTAAACCCACGGCTTTTTACGTTTGGCCCAGGGAGAAATTAGGGTTAGGTGTCTTGCTCAGGGACACTTTGACTTGAGACATGGGGCAGCCGGGACTCAAACCTCCAACCTTGCACATACCAGCACACCGCTCTACCCCCTGAGCCACGACGAGCCGCCAATCACAGAGAAGCTGAACCGCTCACCTGATGTAGAGGACAGCGAGGATGATGATCAGCAGGAAAACAGCAGATATGGATGCAAAAACAGTTGTTGTTGTTGACCATGTGGAGCCTCCTTTTTCTACACGGGAAAGAAAGCAAACAACAACAAATATAAACTATTAAATATGGAGGGTGGAGGATGAATTAGTGACAAAAATAAGATGTTTAACTCAGTGAAACAGAATATCCGGCCATCTTGGGTCGGTCAGCTGGCTCACCCATAACATTGTGTTGGTAGTAAAACATGTACCTATATGAATAATTAGTATATATATAATACAAAATGATGTTACGTTCTAACAAATAGAATAATGTTCTAAAATAGGTACAAGATGCATGTTGAAATCCGCTCCCGGCACACAGATGTAGTTATGACACTGCGTACTTATGAATAATTGTAACCATGGGTTTTCATACGGAAATGATATTAAACAGAACATTATTCATACGTATGCAGTGTCATAACTACATCTCTGATGTTTATAACAAACCAAAGACATCTAGCCTTTATATATAATATCTATGGCTGCACAGACGTCCTCTTTATCCCCAAGTTGGCGACAGAAGAGTCACAAAGCGACATCAAGCAGCTCAGGAAGAGAATCCAGCGCTGAAGAAAAGCTCATGTCCAATGTGAGACTTGTATGTTAATGACATGTGGTGCAATTAAGAACTCACTCTCTTGAGCTCTACATGTTGAAAGCAAGTATTCGTTTGTGTTTGTGCGTGTGAACGTGATTGTGTGGTGATGTAAACGGTCACAACAAGCAGCAGGAGAGCAACTTGTAAACCTCGAGGTGTCCTGAATGCTCCAAACATCACGCCGTTGTTTATTTAGGCTGCTCACATGTAACATTCATCTTTTTATTAACAGGACAAAGAAAAGGACTTTTCCCAACAGGGACCTCAGAAAATGTATAGCATGCCGCACCATGACATTGTGACTGCATACAAAGGTCACACATGACTATATGAACATCTATTTATTGAACTTGGCATTTAGTCCAGCGCTTCTTTAATGTGTCTGGTCCATTTATTAAAGCAATGATGATAACAAATACAAAATTCTAAATAATCAATTCTTTTATACGGCCACATATTAAAAGAAGAGATGCGGATGTCATGTGCTGTAAACAAAGCAACTAGTGGAGGCGGCAAGGTGCTCAGTGTTGCCACATTGGAAATGGTCAAGTATCGTACCAAAGGCTCAAAATGGTCGTATGTGGAGGATAATTATTGTGTATCTGGCAACATGGCGATCGGTCGACCAGTGACTGTTCTCTCTACAGTCAGAGCTCGCGCAGGAAGGTGGAGCGTAAGGGAGACGCCATTTACACCACTTGTGAGGGCGGAATAACTAGTTTGTGAAAGACTCAGAAACACAAATATCCGACGAAGCAAAATCCCGGACGCATTATTTAAGTCTCAGAAAGAGGACGTCTGGTCACCCTGTGAGTCACTTCTTTAGCTGGATTGTTGATATAATGTGTGAAGGAACAGAAGAATGAGTGTGATTTACCTGAAGAAGGAATCAGACGTAAGGTGGAGTTACTACGTCCCATCTCGTTCTGGGCTTCACAGTAATAATTCCCACTGTGTTCAGCTGTGAAGTCAGTGATGGTGAAGATCTGTCCTGATGCTCGTGGTGAGTCTTCATGCTCCTTGTACCAGGTGTAGCTAGCTGCTGGGTTAGCATCAGTGCTACAGGTCAGAGTCACTGAATCGCCCTCCAGCATCTCAGCAGAGGGACTCACTGACACAGAGGGACGCTGTGGACCATCTGGAGGAGACGTGAATAAACATACTAAGAGGTTAGAAGATGTTAGCGTAGATAGTTGATCATTTGAATGAATACTTGTGTGTCTTTCTCTCAGACTATCTCTAGTATTCATCACAGCAGCTGTCACAGGTGAGACTCCTGCTGGTGTAAAGTGACAATAAGCAGCCTTTAATCCTTTGTAATGTTCATATCTCCACACATTCTTCTCTTTAGATGCTGCTTGTGTCCTTAGCTGAGTCTGTCCTCTCACTTCTAGTTGTTGTAGGAGTTATTGATTGTTTCCTCCACCAGCTGACACGTCACTTCTACTTATGTTCTGGAATAATTCACTTGAGTCTTCATGAAAATCACATCATTCTGTCTGCTGATGGTTTATATTTGTGTTTCTATTAATAAGAGAATGACATAAATAAAGATCTGTGCCTCCTTTAACATTTAGACTTCAGTGTGTTTACAGCTGTGATTAGAATCATATTGTTGTGTCAGTGTGTGAGTGACTCTTCTACACGTAGACTGCAGGGGCCGGGGATTGAACCAGCAACCCTCTGGTCAGTGGACCACGGCTCCACCTCCTGAGGAACGTTGTGCTTCATCTTTTTGATGCCTCTAGTTTACATGCAGCGGTCTGGTGCCTCCATGTGAGATGTTGGTGAAGCTCCACAGGCCGACACAGTGGAGTGAACTTACACACTGCAGGAGAACGTTGATTCCAAGATCTTCTTAAATAACAGGAATATCTGTCTGTAGAACCAGAGGAGACTGGAAGAGAAGATCCTGTCTTGATGTTCTCTTCATTCTTGTACCAGTCGTATTCAGGACGACGAGACAGAACACAGCTGCTGTGACACGTCAGCTCCAACCAGGTAGAATTTAATCTTCTCACCTGCACCTGGAGACCTGAATCAGTGAATATTATTTATTAAAGTGTCAACATTCAAAGAGGACATTTATACTCTAGTTTTCTAGATGTTGAACATTTGTAGATGATTAATATGTGAATTAAAATGTTACCTGTGACAGACAAAGTGACTCCAGGTGAACCAGTATATTTCTTTCTCGGGCTGTTTGTCATGAATGTGAATTTGTACTCAGCTGAGTCGCTCTCTCTCACGTCTGTGATGGTCAGAGAACAACTCTTAATGAAACAATCATACGCCACACGGCCTGAATACTCAGAGTCTGTTCTCAGATCCACAGGTTCACCATCTTTCTCTTTAGTGGACCAGAATATGTCCTTCATATCATAGTAACGTATTCCAGGTGGGTATGTGATGTCACAGTCCATATACACTCTTGATCCTTTTGCAGCACAGACTTCAGTCTGATAGTAATTCAATCTCCATCCATCCTGACTCTGTATCACTGTAACACAGCACATCAGGAACCACAGTCACACTCAGAACAACATCACAGGACACACTCTCATTGGTAGTTTACTGAAGAGAAAAGATATTATGAGAAATATGAAAATCATTGAGTTTATAGAAAGTAATGAAAGAGTCCACGATGTCCACATGGACTCTGCAGCTGGAAGGAACAGCGACGTATTGAACCTGTGGACCTGAAAAAGCTCAAGTTGAAGTATTAGAAGGGTTTGGTTGATGAGAAGAAGAGTGTCTTTGCTCTGTGCTCTTCTGTCTGTGGTCAGTCTGCTGCAGAGTGGAGATGGAAACTGTAGAGAAATGCAGAACTCTGAGGGGAACGATACTGTGACATATAGATCACACCTCACTGAGGACACGGCGCTCAGCACTTGGACTGGTGATGGCTTTAAGAAACTCACGCTTTAGTTAACGTGTCAAAAACGTCGTAGCCTTTAAGACCCGGTCCAGTTGACTGATGTTGGGTGTGCGGGAAGAATCAAACGTCGGAGTGCACACATCGTTATTTAAGTTAAGTTGCTTGTTCAAGCAACTGCACTTTATTATTAGCTTGTATCTGTAATTGTTGGTCAGTTTGGTAGTATGTTAATTAACTACCAATAGACTGCTTGAAACTAGAATTGTTCAATAATTCAACATCCGATCACATAAAATATGTTGTGTTTATATTACTTCTACAAATTAAAATATGTAATAACAAATAACTAAAACATGTCAAATCATATTTTTGGCCAAGATTGACAATCTGAGTAACGTTATTTTGTATTCTACGTAATGACGCAGTGTCACGTTATTACGCAATGACATCACAACGCCATTTAGCAACTTTTAACAAAAAAATTGCCCGTCTTGAGCAACTTCCCTAATGAACGCGTTGGCCTCACTAGTAGCGTCTCGCTTGTGCCGCTCTGTGCGTCGACTGCGCTCGGCACCCACAGCCGGTGATCTGCGGCCTTCGGCTCGTCTCCACGGAGCAGGAAGAGGAACTCTGTTAAGCTATAAGTGAGCTCGTGGTGAGCTTTGTCACTGCTGCATCTGCAAACTTTACATTTAAAATAAATAAAACTAGCAAGAATACAAACACAGAACTTTGCTGTCGGGAGGAAGCGCAAAGACGTCAGACACGATGGGCGCGATCCGACATTCAACAAGAGACTCAACAACCAGGAAGAGAATAAAAATGACCACAAATACACAATAAAATGCTCCAAAAAGAAGAACAAACGTCGTCAGAGACTCGGAGTGAATAACAGCCTCTAAATGTGGTCTAATGCAAAGAAACGCTGCTGAACGATTAGAGGAAGTTCAACAGAGACAAATTATTCAGAGCATTTCTTCTTTGTTAATGTTCATTTAGTCATTATTTGTGTGTGATGACATCAGACCTGTGTGTGAAGTAAAAACACAGCTCCCTGTGTGTGTGTGAGGTGTGTAACGGCCTCACAATATAAATGTAGAAGTACAGTACCTTGTACAGAGAGAAGGAAGACGACTAATCCACCGGCTGATGGACTCATAGCTGCTCCTCTGTGTTCAATCAGCAGATCAGAAACTCTTTATTCAGTAAGTCACCAGAAACACGTCTACATTAAAGAGGAGGCTGATGTCTCTGAGGTCAGCTTGTCTCTTCTGGAGTTGGTAACAAGCTGCTGTTCAACACCCAGCAGAGCTTCCTTCCTCTTTCCGCCATTAGTGTGCATGAGCTGCAGAACAAGAAGCTGCTTTAATGTTAACGTCTTACTTCTGCTAAAAGGAAACATCATAAAAGTGTTGTTAATATGTGAAGATCATCTTGATGAACCTGTAAGCAGCATAAACGTCTCTTCATTCTCTGTAATAATTCACATTAAGTGAAAGGCTGCAGTGTGACGTCCTCCTGTTAACATGTAGATAAATATGTCCTCTCTGCAGCTCTTCATACGTCTTCCTCACATTCACTGCAGGACACAAACAACACAAACAAGCTGACAACACAAACAAGTGTTGGTTTATTCATTTAATATTCACACATTTCCATTACAATATGAACGTGTCTGTTGAGGACAGTGTGTAGTGTTTAGTGACATCTAGTGGTGAGGTTGCAGACTGCAGCCACCTGCTCCTCCCTTTAAGTCCTTCAGCGAACGTGGAGATGAACAAAGGCTCCGGGTGGAAATATGAAGCGCTCCTTTAAACAAACAGATGTCTTCGTGATGAAAACATGGTTATGAACATCATATTTCAGTTAGAGGATCCATTAAAGTCCTTCACTGGACCTGTGGAGCAGTTTAACAGATGAAGGTTGTCACTGAGCAGGAGGAAGTTCTCCAACAGATCAGGGACCTCCACGCAGAACCCAGGACTTTTTCAGGATCCAGATGGAGGGAAGCTCCCGCTCGAGGACCTTCTTGCACCAGCGTCTGGACCTGCAGAACCAGAGGAGAAGATCCAGCTTCACACTCAGAGACCCAACATGAGAACACAATGCAAACGCAACACTTTTTGTTATACTGTGTTTTTAAATCACTGATCACGGCGATGGAAGTCGCTCTGAAGACCTTAAATGTTAACAACACCTCATAGTGTAAATCAAGGGTGTCAAACTCATTATAGGTTTGGGCCAGACCATTAAAATCATGAGTGGGGGGCGGACGGTTCGGCCGACAGGGGGGACACAGTCTTTTTTAAGGGTCTGCGGCCTGGAGTGACGCCCTCGTCGAAAAGGAGAAAGTTCATTAATTAATATAAATGACTTATCCTGGTCCGGCGGAATGTGGCAGCACCAGTAGTTGACTACACGCACCCCGTTGCTCTTGGCTCTGATATTTATTTTACACGCATTGTTGTCTTCCGTGAACGCAGAGTTCAGGGAGACGCAGAATCAACGTGTTCACGTCTACGTGGATTTAAACCATATAGTTAATTATATTTAACTGTGTCCATGGTTATTTATCTGGTATTACAATATATTCAATGTTGTTATTTCATAGGATTTTCAGGGTTCATTTGCAACAATTGTTGTATTCATCTTGTTTTATTCATTTCATTTAAAAAACAAAGTTACTTCCCACTGATTGTGTCCATGTTAGTTCCACTTTAAAGCCATATTTTAGGGCAGCTTCTCAATTCTTTGCTCAATTCAGACGTTCTATTTCACCCGACCCCATCGGTTTCCCCCACAGGTGGTGAGCCCACGGGGAGTAGAGTCTTGGGCTGCCGCGTCACTCCTTCGGGCTGTGCCCGGCCGGGCTCCGCGGTAAACCCGGCCACCAGACGCTCGCTGTGGGGCCCTCCATCTGGGCCTGGCTCCAAATGGGGGCCCCGGGCTTCCTCTGGGCCGGGTTCCTTCCGTTTTTTCATAGGGTCTTTTTGAACCATTCTTAGTCCGGCCCCTCGCCTGAGACCACTTTGCCAAGGGTAACCCT